AACTGTGGTGAAGATCAGCAAAGGGAATAGGAGAATGAGCTCTTCTACTTTCCCCTGCACCTTAGAGGAGCATTAGGGGCTGGGCAGCTAGGCATGAATCAGACCACAGGGTACCTGTGCTGGCCTCTGCCCTCTCACGCCGTATCTCTGTGAGGATCCACCTGAGGACTTCTGTCCAGTGTGGGAATGTGAGTGGAGAGGGTCAGCACAGGAGACCCATCTGGCCTCCACGGGGCTTGGAGTTCCTGTCCTTGTCACTAGGTCTTTCCAGCCGCCTGCCCTTTCCCTCCTGAATTCTGAAATAACCACCTGCCACAGCTTTACTGATGTGTACATTGTATCGGAAATGTCTGCCTACACAGACAGGTTTTGCCCCTCCTTCAGGCATGTGCTGAACGCCCTAAACACACACTGAAAATAGTCCTGCAAGAGCAGGTGTCAGTGGGTTGGCTTGAAGCTCAGATTGGGGAAAGCCTTCCTAGGGGTCTGTTCTCAGCAAAGTAAGCCTTTCAGAGGCGCTCTCCTCGGCTTCTGAGGGAGTTGCTGTGAGAATAGGTGACGTGCCTGTCAAGGCCCAGACAAGGAAGCAGAGGAAACTGGGAAGCAGAATGTGAACTTGCTCCTCCCAGTATTGTTTCAGGCACAGCCTTAGACATTGAGACTGATGCTTCGGCCACCAAAGTACCAAAGTCGTAGGGACATCTAAGGTTTGTGCTGAGCTAGTTTATGTGCTCTGATGGGCAGGTAGGAAGTGAGTGATCTGTGAGTGTTTCAGACCCAGGTTGCTTCTGTCAGAGTATCTGTGATACCCGGCTATGCAGATGCATTCACAGTATCTCTCCCTTTTTTCTTCAGTGCTGGAGGGCAGTTATCTCAGGGTTCGAATTTATCCATTAATACCAACCAAAACATCAACATTAAGTCAGAACCAATTTCACCTCCTCGGGATCGAATGACCCCATCAGGCTTCCAGCAGCAGCCACAACAACAGTCACAACCCCCCCAGCCCCAGGCCCAGCCCCGGCAGGAGATGGGGCGCTCTCCTGTGGACAGTCTGAGCAGCTCAAGCAGCTCCTACGATGGCAGTGACCGAGAGGATCCGCGGGGCGACTTCCATTCTCCGATTGTGCTTGGCCGACCGCCGAACGCTGAGGACAGAGAAAGCCCTTCCGTAAAGCGAATGAGGATGGATGCATGGGTGACCTAAGGTGTCCAGGCTGGTATTTATAATTTGTGTTACTGCAGTGAACTGCCCTACATATCTAAATTGGTAAATACGAACATGAGTTAAACATATTTATATGTACATACATATATATCCCTTTACATATATATGTATGTAGGTGTGAGTGTGAGTGTGCGTGAGTGTTGCATACACAGAATCAGGCACCTACCTGCAAACTCCTTGTTGATCTGCGGACGTGCGTCCCAAGGCAAACGAAGCACCCCGCAGCAGAGTCTAGTCTGGCACTTCCTTGGACTACTTGTTTCGTAAGATAGCCAGTTTTTGCCGAGAAACATGTACCCCGTATATAATTCTCCCACACTAGCTTGCAGAAATCTAGAGGGCCCCCTACTTGTTTTATTTAACTGTGCGGTGACTGTAGTTACTTAAGAAAAATGCTTTGTAGAACAGAGCAGTAGAAAAGCAGGAACCAAGAAAGCAATACTGTACATAAAGTCATTTATATTACTCACCCAACCTGGCATGGGTCTCTATTGCAGAGGGGTGCATGGGAAAGGGCTGTTGATACTAAAAACAAACAAACAAAAAAAAACACAAAAAAAGGAAAAAAACCCACACATAACTGTTTGCACGTGCAAAAATGTATTGGGTCAAAGAAGTGATCTTTAGCTAATAAAGAGAGAATAGAAAACACGCATGAGATATTCAGAAAATACTAGCCTAGAAATATAGAGCATTAACAAAATAAATTAATATATTAAGTTAAAATTGGAATATGTCAGAAGTTTCTTTTTACATTGATATCTTAAAAATTAAACTGATTTTAGCTCATGTATATTTTATATGAAAGAAAACACCCTTATGAATTGATGACTATATATAAAATTATATTCACTACTTTTGAACACATTCTGCTATGAATTATTTATATAAGCCAAAGCTGTATGTTGTAACTTTTTTTTTTAAAGAGAATAGCTTTATCTTGTTTTAACTTTTTAGTTTTATTTTAAAAGGGGAAACAAAAAATATCTTGCAAGCAGAACCTTGGAAAAAAAAAGCCATGAACACTTATTATTCTATATGTAAATTAAAAGTTGAGCCAAACTATGTGTATATAGCATCTTAACTATATTATCACCTTTGATGTAAGTACCTACGTATTGTATGGTCACCAGATTAAAAAGTATATTTTTGTGGATTGCCGCCAATTTGGGGGGAAAAAGGCGAGGTCCTTATTAAGTAGAGTATTCACTGTTTAATATTTACTATTTTGTTAAATATACCGTACTTTGGATTTTAATTATTAGCCCAGTTTTTCCAGAGGATTGTATACAGGGGTTTCTCCCCTCACTGGTGGTGAGTGTGTGATGTTACATTGTACTCTTCGTGCTGTATGGGTTGAGCATCATTATATATTTTATATATGTACATAAATAGCAAAGTGGCAAAAAAAATGGTGTTAAGTTCATCCTGCATAAATATAAAATGTGTTGTAAGATTTTATAAGGCATTATCTAAAACTTGCCTTTTGTGAGGAAAAAGCATATAGTAGAAAAAACTGACCTAATTTAATATTAGAGAAAATGGCAAAATAGTAGATGAGCACAAAGGTTTTATAAGTGGTAAATGATTAGAGAAAAATAATCCTGGGGAAGGGCTGCTTTCTCCCGCCCTGCTAAAACATGATGCAGTTGGCTAGCAACCTCTGGCAGTGCAACACACTGCACTGAAGTGACGCAGCCCTGTGGGGAGAGAAGCTCAAGTGATGCGGGTCCCTGGCACAACTCATCACCCTGAAGGAGGGTGTGCTGCCTCGGTGTAGGTCCTGAGCAAGGCCTTACTACTCTGACAGGAAAACGGGCAGGTGGGTAGCGAGGTCATCCATTGCCTGGGCTTGTGCCATGAACAGAATTCAAAGTCATGTAGATCTAAAAATCTAGGGTAGATTTTTAAATACTCCTTTTTTCTGAGAAAATAAGGGTTTAAAAACTGCTATTTTATACTTTAATCCTAATATTGAGCAGCTACTTATCACATTTTACATTTGTTTCCCCCCACCCCAAATTATGTTCCTTTTGACATGTTTATCATACGCTGTTTGTGACAAATCATCAGCCAGCTTTCCTGACTGACACATGGGTATTAGGTACAGGACTTCCTGTGACATTCACAGCTGCAAAACGACAGTTTGGGTAGTAAATCCTGATAGAGGCTGTCGCCTTCGTTCCCCCTCTCCCCCCCAAAGGTGATAGGCTTTCTCCTGATTCCAGTGTAGACATTTGGCTCTTATTCAGAAAGAACTTGCTTTTCTTTAAGCTGTTTTTTATTGAACTACTTGCAGGCACATTTCTGCAGAAGGGGTCACACCTAATTGAAACAAGACAGTCTCCCAACACTGAATTTTGAAGATAATCCTTACCACTTTGTAAACCATTTATAGCTTTGAAAGTGTTGAGTGATTCTTTGTTGTTTATGCATGTTCATGAACTTCTGCTGTGCATTGGACAGGAGTTACCACATTCACATTTACTGTCTATTTTCTTGTGTGCCTTATGAGATGGCTTTTCTGACTGTATCTTAATAGTCTTTCTTTCTATGCAGGTTTATAATCAGTACTACTGTTTTCTAAAATACTACACAAGGCTCGGAGTTTGTATTTCAATTACACTGACCAAGTAACAATGTATTCCATTTTCAGGAACTGAATATTTGACTGTTAATCCTTTTCCCCTAAGCCCAGCGTGATGGGAGCACATCAGCTTCACAGACACGCCTCACCCAGACATCACGTACGAACACACACACATCTGGTGGGAACCAGCCCAGTGGGGAAGACACTCACGGTGTTCATTCCACAACCTACTTTTCTTACCCTTTTAGACTTATGAGTTTTGTATGACACCATCGCAAGAAAACTTTATCCCTTCAGATGAAGTATTTTATTACTAAAAGACAAAAACAAAAAAAGCGCAGAGTGTCGGCCCCGGCTCAGGTGAGCAGCGCCGCGCCACGCTGCGGTAGTCGGTGTCGACAGACGGTCCCAGTCAGAACTCCATCTTTTGAGCCCTAATTCCATTATGTTAGAGACTAAATCAGGGGTTTGTTCTAAAGAACAACATGTTTTAACATTTCCTTTAAGGACAGCTGACAAAGCATTAACATTTTCTGTATTAACCATCGCGCACAAGAAATACATAGTAAATAAGGAACCAGAAAACTCCTGGCATTGGGTCATAAGCAGCTTAGATGATTAGAATGTGAAAAAGATTTTACAAATGTAAAACTTTTATTTCTCTGTAGAAACTTTCTTCACTTTGCTGTGCAAGAAGACACTGCTTTGCTATATTTAAAATGGCTTTTTTAAAAGAGATTTATGTATTTGGTAATGTTTGTAGTCAACAGTTCACACAAGAAGCTGTACGCGGTTTGATCACGTAAAACCGTTTGGCGGCACAAGCTGGACTTTGTTGCCATCCTTGAGATGAACCTTTTAAACAAAATAAGTGAATCTCAATTTTTTCCCTGAATGTGTTGTTTTTTCTTCATGATACAATAAATACTATAGTGAACTTTTTATCAAATGGTTAAGAAATGCTAGAGGTTGTTGTAAACTTTGTATCCTGCACTCACTACAGTAAAGACGGACTGGCTTTTCCTGTGTACTCCAGACTCTCTCATGTTTGACACTTGTCCTCTTCTCCCCCAAGTCCACCTTTCCCACCTGCAATCGCTTCTGTTTAATGAGACATGGCCCAGAAACCCAAGGCAGTGTCCACCACTGCGTCCTTGTCAGCTCCTGTCTCCCTCCCGGGGCAGCTCTGGGCCACGCAGCCAATGACACCTCCTCCCAGGACGCACACAGTGTGTAGGCACGGGGGGTGGGCGCTACGAGGACTTAGCTACTAGATTTTTAGAACTTACTAGATCCTACTTTAAAATTTAGGGGATGAAATGCTTTGTTTCACCCAAAAAGCACAGGTAATACGGAGCTAGGGGGATAAAAAATTTCCTATAATGGATTTTTACTTTCAAAAGTGACGGGTCTGAAAATCATCTTAAGCTTGCAGTGGAAAGTGCTGTTTTGTGCTGGTTAGAGTGAGGCTCTTAGGAGTGGGGTTTGAAAGCTGGCAGAGTCCTGTGGCTATAAATACTCCAATCACAGCTGCGGCTGCTCAAATTCAATTCATTGTAATTTCCTAGTCAGCTCCCATGGGTGCCTTGCTCTAGACTCTTGTTTTCAAGCTGACTCTGTCTGGCACCAACCAAGAATGATCGTCAGTTGCAGCCCTCTAGCCAGCTGGATGGCTCCAGCCCACTCGCAGCTGCCTGTCTGGTCCCTTGCAAGGGTTGAAGTGCCACCTAACTGCACAGCTGACACGAGCTGCAGGAGAAGGTTTCCAGTGGGCACCCGAGGCATGACGGGCTAGTGAGTGACGGAGCATGCTGATGCTGGAGAGGCCTCTCCTCCTGCCGTCCTCTCCATTCCTGCCTCTGTCCACAGACCAGACACCCCACACGGCTCAGAATCCAGGCCTGACGCAGTCACTGACACGGGCCGCCTGCCTGGCCTAAGCCAGAGCCCATCAAAGTGCACTAATGGCTGCTTCACAGTATTGGAGTCCTGAGTTACAGAAAAGGTGGAGAAGTGTGAGGCTTCCTCAGGGAGCTTCCCCAGTGTTTTACATGAGCAGTGTCACCATCAGACTCAAGACATCGATAAGGTGCTGTTTAAGTCCTAGTTGGAATTTCACTTTCCCCACGAGTCTGGGTCTGTTATGACTAGTCTGGGATCCTGCACTACGAGTTAGGGGATTTCTCTAACAGGCCTGGTCTGGTCTAGGAAAAGATGCAGCTGGAGGCTAGTGATTTTGCGCAGAACGCCCCCCAGGAACGTGCGCTCAGTGCCCAAGGCGTCCCTGTGTCCCTGTGCAGGTGGTGCTGACCCAGACCGCTTGGTTCAGGGTTTCTCCAGCACAGAGCCACTGCCTTGCCTTGGGGAAACTGAGGTGATCGTTTTCTCAGACTTTGACTCACATCCACTAATTTCAGCTTGCAACAATTGTCACTGTGGCTTTTGCCTCTCCTGCCCCCTGTGAGGAAGAGCTGTGCCCTCACTACGCGACCAGGTCATGCACTCATGGACTGTATTTTTTTCCTAGTGTGTTCTCTGAACGTCCCTCCCCATTTTTTAGCACTCCCCTCTTTGTGGCAAGAAGACTCACACTCATATTTCCCTTGCGCTAGTACTGGATCGGCCGCTTTTTGCGGACTCCGAGTTTGGCTTATTGGAGAGTGGAATCCAGAAACTAAGATCCAGGCACCATCTGTGCCCCGCTACTGGAATATCACCATGTTAGGCTTTCTCTGCCAATAAAGGCCTGGGAAATAGGTGTAGGTCTGCTCACTCACCGACACCCACCCACATTCCCTAGCTCAAGCTACTACATCAGGTTTCAGTTCAGCATCGCAGGGTTCGTTTTCCTTTGTCCTTCCTTGTAACATGAGTTCATTCTCCTACAGTAAGAGGCCAGCTCTTCTCTGCAACTTTTTTGCTAGGTGCCTTCAGTTTGGCCTCTGCCTGCTCCGTGGGCACTACCCCTCCAGCTGCGCTATTTCGTGCCATCAGCCTGCCACCCACCTGTCGCTGCCCGCGCTGCTGCACTTGGAGGAAGTGGTGAGCTACAGGACGCATCCGCAGCCAGGGGCCCCTTAGCTGCTGATGGAGATGGCGGGCGGCCTCTGATCAGGCCCTGCCTGTCTCTGGCCAGCACCGCTGCACCGACCTGTCACTGGCCCTCTCAATCCTGCATGCACCCAGCCAACCCCAGCCACTGCCTGCCTCGCAGTGTGCACACACCGACCGGGGAGCGTGCAGCCACGCCAGTGCCACAGGCCCCGTCTTCTCTTACCAGCCACCCCAGTGTGGCCGCTGGTACTTGGTCCCTCCAGCTGAAAACCTGCATGCTCCGGGGCAGGGTGAGGCCATGTGACCATCCTCACACGGTCTGCTCAGAGGCCAGTAAGCCCTGACCGCCTTTACTAAGTGGGTCTGCAAGCATCTTTTCCACAAAAGACACTTGTAGCTGGACCCCTCAGCTCCCTGCAGAGCGGCCACTGCTGCTCCCCTGGTACCTGAGCTGCTGGTCTCAGGCACTGGAAGAGGTAAACAGTCCTGCAGCCACAGTACGCCTCTCCATGCTCCTCAGTAACCTCAGCACAGTCACACTGTGGCCACCAGTAGCCTGGGCCTCAATCACCCATCAGTGCTGCTGCCTGACAGACCCTTGGGACCCCGATCCCCGCCCCGGTGGGCAGCGCAACCCAGTGCCTGACCCAGTCGAAGCACTTCCGTTAAAGAATGAGCCGGCAAGCCTGGGGCCGGCAACTGCGCAATCAGGTACTGCCAAGAGTGGAGACGTGCCTCCTCCACTAACGGCATGCAGGAAGCCCTATACCTGGCTCCAAAGAGGGAAATCGCGGCTACGCGTGACGAGTAACTGTTGCTCTACAGGCGCTCAGAGCGCTACCAGGGAACACAATGACGCGAGAAAAGCAATGCAAAACAAGCTCCGCAAGCGTAAGCCTTAAAAAAAATTCTGGAGCTGAAGATTACAATGACTGAAGAATTCAATAGGCTGCTTCAGCAGTACTGTTAAAAAGAAATCAAGGAGCGGCCCTCCCTGGTGGCGCAGCGGGTTAAAGCACTGCACTGAGAATCTAAAGCCGCTTCCGCATGAGTTCGATTCCCGCCTGCCCCGGAGGTGACCACATGGCGTGGCAGACCTCTCCTGACCCGCCCGCTGCTCCCCTCAGCAGTGTACTTCGTCCATCTGCCTGTTCTGCTCCCCACTCTGTCTCTGGTGAAGCCTCTCTCCGCCCCTACCTCTGGCCTGTACCCCAGTTCTGTATGCACAAATAAATAAATCTTTAAAAAAAAAAAAAAAAAAAAAAAAAAAAAAAAAAAAAAAAAAGAAAAGAAATCAAGGAGCAAAAACTGAGTCAACTAAAGCTACACAACCAGAAGAGCAACAAGAAGAAAAATAACGAAAATAAAAGCTATGGGCCCCCTGAGATACCACCCAAAGTAAAGTCTGTACAGCTGGCTGGAGTCCAAGACGAGGAGAGGGACAAAGGACTAGAAAGCTCATTGAAAGGAACAGCCGAAAACTCCCCAAACACGTGCAGAGAATCAGACATCCGAGTATACGAAGCCGAAAGGTCACTGTGAAGCTTCAAAACTTTCACGACAGATAAGATCGTCTAAAACTGAAGCCAAATTTAAAAGTTGTAAGCGAAAACCAATTTCCTTGTACAAGGGAAACAGCCATGTTACCAGGGGGTTTCTCCCCACTGAGCTTATAGCTAGGAGAGGATGGAGCGGTGTGTTGGGAGTGCTGAAACAAACTTCCAAATACTTCACCTCGCAGAGCTGTCCTTCAGGACTTAGTGAAAGAAAGTCTTCACCTAATAAAAACAGAAGGGGGCTTCCTTATCATCTACATTACAAGAAATGAAAAATCAAGATGAAACAAAAGGAAGCTAAATGAATAGCTGAAAACATGAAAATAGACAACAAGCTACTACGAGGTAAGCCTAGAGCTGTGTTTAAAATCTACAATACCCAAGCGTCAACTGCTGAGCTCAATGGCAAAAATGTTAAAAATAGCTATAGTTTCAATTTTGTTTGTGTGCAGAACTTGGGTGTAGGCCAGAGCTGCTGGGGTCAGAGGGTTTAACAGACGGAATGGGGAGCAGAACAGGCAGATTGACTGAAATACACTGCTGAGGGGCGCAGTGGGGAGACAGGAGTCGTCTGCTGTGTCATGTGGGTCACTCCCTGGCCGGGGGTTGATCTGACTGAAGCAGTGACAGTGCTGGGACAACCCCTAGGTCACCAAGAGGCCCCCCATAATGTTAATGAAGACAATAAATTGAAATGATGGCATCAAAATTGTAAGAATGAAGGGTAGTTTTGTAAGATGGGATCAAAATTAGGAATTAACAGTTATAATAGTTTACTATTATGTTTTATGTAAACCTCATGGGCACCCCAAAGGAAAAAAACCTGCCTAACATAAAGCGATGACAGAATTTCTGACTATGGAAAATTACCAATTTCTAAAGCAAGCAAGAAAAATGGATTTATAAACAGCCAGAAAGTAGTAAGATGGTATTAGTGAGTTCTTACCTATCAATAACTGAATGTTAAACGAGTGAATTCTCCAATAAAAGGCAATTCTGGGGAGGATCAGACAAGATGCAACTCTGCCATTTACAGGAGGCTCAGCTCTAAGGACACAGATTCCTAGTGAAGGGCTAGTGACAGGCTACTGCAGGCAAGTGGCAGCAGAGTCAACGACGGGTGTGCCACAGACCGGCCCTCGTCTCCAGTGATGGGGAGAGGTGTCCGCTCAAGGAGACCATCAGTGAGCGTATGCATCTGTGCGTGTTTATGTAATACTAGCATCTAACAGGCCAGTGAGACAGCAAGCAGACTTCAGTACCCTTTTCCACCAATGACAGAGCATCCAGAAAGAAACTGCAAAAAGGGTGGGCCTAACATCTCTACAGAACATTTCACACAACATCGCAAGCACACATCGTAATTCTCCAGAATATTAGAATAGCTGTCACCCAAAACAACAGACAACAGATGCTGGCAAAGCCGTGGACAAACGGGAATCCTTATGCTTCGCTGGTGGGATGGAAAAGTATGGAGGGCCTCAAAAAATTAAAAATAAAACTACCCTGCCCCAGCACTACCAGTTCTGGGGATATATTTAAAGGAAATGAAAACACTGTTAAAAGAGATGTCAGCACCCCTATAGTCATATCAGCATCATTTACAATAACCAAGAAAGGTAACCCGCCTGTACCCATCAAAAATGGAAGGATAAAGCTGTGTGCGCTGCTCACACACGTGGATACATACACGTAACCTGCAGTATGGACTGACCTTGCATGCACTGTGCTAACTGAAGTGAAAGACAAAATATTGTGCGGTCTCGCCTAAGACTGGACTCATGACACACAGAATCCCAGAGGTGGGAATTGGATGAAGGAGGTCAAAAGGTACAAACCTCCATGGCAGCTGAGAAATCTGGAGGTTCGGTATAAGGAAAATAGCCTACCTATGGGAGACGGGTGTTAGCTAAAGGTACCGCGGCAGCCATTCATGATACGCAGGGATCCAATCATTAAACTTTACAACTTAAAACGTATACAGTCCTATGTCAATTATAGCTCATTAGAATGAAATCCCCAGAGTCATTTCAGGGCCCACGGAATTACCCCTCAAGCCCGGCGGAGGCAGTCTTGAGAACCTCTATCCTGGGAGGTGGCTGTTGGGGGTCTGAGCCTGGCAGGCTTGCACAGGTTGATGCCGAGGCTTCTGCAGGGTCCCTGGAGCCCTGTCCTCCAGAGTAAAAACAGGAGGGTCACTTGCCTGGCCAGGGAATCGAAAATGAGCTTCATGGTATCTTGTGGTCACCCAATAAAACGACTTCCAAGTGCACAGTGTGGACCCTGCCGTGAGGCAGTGGGGGTTACTACTCGGTTCACCTGCTGGGGTAACCCTGGGCAGCACTCTATTTAATTCTGAATTATCAACCCCCAAATAATAAAAGAATCAGTTGTCCTTCACAGAAGAAATTGTTTTATTCCATTTAAAAAAATAAAAAGATACAGATAATTCAGTTTTGGCTTGGCAGGTCATTTTCCCAAAGACGCCGCGCCCTGCCTGTAGACAAGGTGACGGGCTGAAATACCAGTGCCCCTCGGGGACAGCACAAACGCTTGGCGGGAAAAACATTCTCTGATCTGACTATTTCTTTCAGTAAACATTTACAATTTTATCCTGAAAACCATCTAGTCTCAAATTTAATTTTGAAGGTATTTAAATTTGCTTGTTCAATCTGGGGCAAAACTCAGCTTTCCACAAAACTGAGAATTAGGAACCCGGGTGTCAAGTACTCTTCTGCTACATGTTTCTTTCATGGCATGACACCTTTTCTGTTTAGCCAGGAGCCAGCTGCGTCAAATGCCATAAACCGTACCCAAAGCTCAGCGTTGCCCTTTCTCTCTAGAAACATTGCTGCAGCTAAGCCAACCATCTCCACAGGCCCAACGCAGGCTCCCGCAAAGCAGGCTCTCGTCTCCATGACCGCGCTCAACCAGCAGGGCCCCCTCAGTGGCCAACGTGTGAGGCCCTCAAGACCCCACAGTTGACACCACTGTTGCCTTGACCGCGAGACGGGCCAACTTCAGCAGATGGCATCCGTATGCTTTCTCTGGCCTTCCACAGCCAGAGTGACTTGGAGGCCTCCATCAGGTTTCTCTGCTCTTTGGATATGAGGCCCATTTTAACCCATTTCCCATTTTCGGGCCGTGGCTCTAGGACTCCTCGAAGAACAGTCAGGGAGGCAGCCGGGAGCAATGCCCATCGCCCACACTGCCCTTCCAGGTGCGCACAGGGGCTGCTGCTCTCAGCCACACCTTCGCAGCCATCCAGCTAGGCCCCTCGGACCTCATTCTTCCCTAGCTACACAGCGCCACTGGCAGCCAGAGCTTCTGTCAGGAATACTTAGCAACGCTGTGGGCCTGCTCGTCAGGCAGCCGTGGATGACGACCCCCAAGCGTGTTGGCCCAGAACTGGTCACACCAGGCAGAGCATAAAACGCACCTCTGTGGCAGACTAAGTATGAGGGACAGAGCTAATGCTGCTCAGTACTGTAGTGGCTCTGGAGTTTAGACTTTGGAAATGACAGTGCCGCAAGAGAGGCAAACTGATGAAATAAGTAGAGTTTGTTACAACCATCAGCTGTCACCCTAAAACGGGGACACACCATTATTGCACAGCACCTCTGCCAGGAATGCAACAAACCACAGGTGGCAGCCAGGTGACCAAAGCCAATCCCAGGGGTTCCTGTGCTGAAGGGCCACTGACCAGGGTCATTCTACCTTGGGGCCCCTCTGCGCTACTGGGCAGACAGTGCCGGTCCACTAGATAGAGGCCCGTAAGAAATGGCACCTGTCAGGTGTCAATGTCTTGGTGCGCTTTTCCAGATGTTGCACGCTAAGGGCACTGGTATTTTGGGTCAGCTAAGGTTACTCCCCAGGGTGAGTATTACAAAAAATATGGCTTCTAAAACATGACCATGTGCCAGACAAAAGGAAATCCAGCACCCGAAGATCTGGCCCCCGTTAGCTGCGCGCATTGGGAGCCAGACTGCTAAAGCCATCCGACTCTTTACAAACTATGGCTAGTTTCCCGCCCAGGTGGCTGGGCTGAACCTCCTGTCTGAAAAGGGGGTGGTGGGCAGTGGACCCACAGACCTGGTGGGGGCTTGCTCGGGAACTGCACTCTCTGCGATGGAGTCACTGGGGACAGCAGTTGTGTTCAAGCTACTGGAGACCTCACCAGTAGCCTGTATTTTAAAATAGACTAAATAAAACACTGGTAAAACGATGCCAATCAGGAGCATAATAAACACTGCGTTCCACCACTGAATCCCACAGTCTGCATCATTTGGTGGCATCTTTGGTGACACCGGCAGTAGCGGCTGACTGGAGGGCTCTATGCAGTAGCTTTCGCTCAGGAAGATCTCTGACTGCACTACATGCTCGATATTCTGGTCAATGCCCTTGAAAAATTCGGTCAGCGGGCTGGACAGGCCAGCAGGGCCTATAGCCATCCTGTCTGGATCTGGCTGCTCTTCGAAGGTCACTCTGATCTCCGAGGATGGACTCGAAATGGGTTTGAGTTCTTTGTGAGTCTCCGTTAGGATCCCATGGTTTTTCACTGGAATCTTTATAGATTTCAAAGCATATAAGTCTTGTTCTCTGATGAAGTTGTTGACTTTCTTGATATCTGCGACCTAGGGAAGCCATGAAGACAATTATCACGAAATATGTAAAGCGGCTTATAACCAGTATCCAGAAAGTGGCCCCTAGTTGTTCTGGGTGAAGGTACAAGCCCACCTCACGTAAACATCTGGTGAACAGCGAGAACTCGTACGTACGTAGGAAATTTAGGCTGAATGACTTGGGTATTTGGCTTTAACACGGCCTTCATGTCTCCCTTAGTTGTCAGATTGTCCCACAGATTAACAAGTTCAGGTCTGGAAAAGACTTATTTGAAGTGTGACAAAACTCTTTCAGGTGAAATTTATACCACAAAAATACTAGATAGTCTTTTCTACTTTTAAGTTGACAGCGCCTCCAGAGGGTTGACATCAGAACCCAATCCAGCATCTGCCAGAAATGAGCACTCAGGCTACAGACACTCAGAACTTGGTCTACACCTAGTTTTCAGAGGCATGCCTTCACGAGCCTCCATATTTTCTTTTCCAGGAGTACACTATAGAAACTTGTTTTAAAATAAAGCAACCTCCAGTTAACTGACTTGGATTTTATACTCAAGATAATTAGAAACATGCAAGTAATCAAGCTGGAAAACGATTGAAATCTACTCCAGTATTAGGATTTAGCAGAGAGAACACCTGTGAGTTTAGCAAAGTTCTTAGCAAACTCCTCACATCAACTCTTAGGATTTAAGAAGTGAGAGGAAAATCTCAATTAAAGATAAACTTTCCCTTCAAAGCAGTTTGAAAGTTACTGAAAGTATCAGAGATAGACTGAGATTTAAAATGCCTAGGTCCACTTAAACTAGAGTTTAAGTACAGCAAATAGATTTCATTCTAATCAATCACCTCCACCTCCATTTTAATTATTTACCAGCTGCTTTCATCATTTGATTGAAAACTGGTATAGGAGACACTTTTAATTTATTAAGTCCTTAAACTAATAAGGTGTTTAAGATCCCTTTGTCTTTGCCTCTAATAAGCTGACATCAAGTGTATTTACTTCACAGAGGAAGGCTGACCACTTGCGGAAGGCGTCAGACAGGCGTCTCAGCTCTTTAAACATCACCATCCCAAGAAGCCCACTCACTGCATCTACCCAGTGTTTGAAGAGAAGATTCATTTCCGTCTTTAGTCTATAAGCCATAGAGTAGAAGGCCACAGTGAGAGTCTGCAATCTAGATGCCGCCAAGGGCCTGCTTGCCGCTCTGAAAACACACGCCCACTCAGCTGTGTGAAGTTTGTTAGCTAAATGATGGTTTAAGGGGGACAAGGCTTTTTAAAAATAAGTACGTATCTTAAACACAGCCTTAGAGAAGGCCAAGGCAGTTTTAAGTCACCTGGCTACACTGGCATAGTTAGCGATGTCAACACCTAGTTAACACAGTATACTCTATACACCATTAGCAAAGTAAAGGAAGTCGTTTCAAACTAGGAAAAAATGCAAGCAAGTCTATATAAATACTTTCCTACTTACTCTGTTATTGTTAATCACTCTGCATGCTAAAAACATAATTAGAGAAAAACAGGGTTATATACAAAGGATACAAAGGCCATTTCATGCAGTTATAAAAACGCAAGGCTTCATCAGACTCATCACAAGTGTCTGAAAGCAAAGGGGAAATGGCAGCATGCCACAGAAACCTTGGGCAAGGAATTAATTCTGCCTATCCTCCCCAACCCCATTAGGTCTTCAATAAATACACATGCTCAAAAAATGGGTGCTCAGATTTTCAGTCTGGAGGAGCAGGGAGGAGAACGCAGCAGGGGAAGACCCCAGCCCTCACGTGTGACCTCGGGCCTCCTGAGAGAAAGCACTTTCAGCCGCCCTGCCTCTCCGCCGCCCTCTCTCACCCAACTGTGGGGATCAGGAAGGGGCAGTTAGGGGCCTCCCTTCAGTGCGCTGGTTCCTGGCTGGGGGGTTCTTACTTTGCAGCCATACTGGAGAGCAAGCTTGTTGAGACTGTCCTCTTGGGCCAGCTCCCGCTGCAGCAGCACCACATCCCCTGCTCCTGGCTGTGGAGGGCGGTGGGCACCCTTCTTCGGGCACTCCTTGTGCCGGGGCCGCAGGGATGCACTGTGGGACTCTTCCTCAGAGGAGCCCCCCGAGTCCCCATCGCCATTCTCAAACATGTAAACGTGGGTGGTCGGAGTCCTACAGACAAGGGCTGCGCCATGGAAGGGCTTGGTTAACGCTTCCTTCTGCCTCATTTTCTTAACTGAAAACCAAACCCCAGTGTTAATTCCATAAAGCATGTTCACTCTGTGGCTACACCGCAGGTATAGCCTCGCTGTTAGAGATCACCTCCTGCCCTAATCATTGTAAATCCTTAAAAACACGTTAGTAGAAAAGCGAATTGGTACCTTTTCCTAACTGTGTACATTGCTGCGCACAGAAAAAAAGTGACTCCCCCATCTGTCCTATTACGGTTCACATCTGTTTCTCCCCCAAATCTAGAGCTACCTTTTGGGCTCAGAGCAGAAAAGCAGCAGCTGGGACCCCTGCAAAGAGAGGTTAGGACTGCTCCACACGACCCTGCACGCAGAAGCATCAGCCAAAAGCTTAGTATTACGCATCCAAAGTATCTCATTAAGGTCAAGACTAACGACACCTGCTTAGAAAACTAAGACGACGACACCCCCAATGTGAAACAGCTCGAGTTATGGGTTATGTGGGGGTGTGTGTGGGGGGGGGAACTCTTGCTTAACTAAGAAACTCGTCCAGTTGCTCACCGGTCCCTTTGCTTTACGTCTGGTTTTAATTTTCACGTCTAGCCAAGTGCAAAAGCCACAATAACCCCTTTCGCCTTCTCCTGGTTGCTCGGATG